TCTCCTCCTCCCCCTTCATCTGCTCCTGTGTGCTCTGATCAGATATGTCCCTCTCCCTGAGCTGCAGATTCAGTATCGTCTTTTGAAATAAATTTTTCTGGGGGGAGGGGCAGGTGTCCACTTAGTATTTGGGATTGGGGCCAGCCCCCTAGACCTCTCCACTGGTTCCCTACTCCACGCCGGCATGTTGATGCTTTTAAGATTTGATGTATGAAATACCTTTGATAATAACATGTATGATAACTATTACATATATAATAAACTACATATTTTCTACATTTGAACACAAGGAGTTACCATGTTTCATAGCTTGCTCTAAAACAAATTCTGGATCATCAGTAAATTCTGAAAACTTCTTAATCACCACTGTAATTAATTTTAGTTTTAGGAATAAAAGATGAACCAGCATTTTGAAGTTATCACCCACTTAGAATTTATTCTAAAATTTCATCATTTGATCTATAATAGTAGATATAATTTCCTAGATAAACTAAAATGTCTGGAAAGTTTTAGGTAACAGTTCTCACGTTTTTGTTTGTTTGTTTGTTTCTTAAGCGAAGGATAAAGAGAAACGCTAGTTCTTCTAGAAAACCAAATAAGAGAAAGCTTGCTTTCATGTCATACTCCCATTTTAAACTCTTGTGTCAATTTTATTTCTATCTCCCTCTCTGTTCCCTTTGTGATTAAATTCCGAAACCAAACCCGCTGTCATTGAGTCCCTTCTGACCCAGAGCAACCTGATACAGGGTTTCTGAGATTTCAGTTGTAATGGGCACAAACAGCCTATCCTGTTCCCTTGAAGTTTGTTTAAACCTCCGACCTGATGGTTACTGGCCCAACACCTAACCGACACTGGCACTTACTGGTCTGCTAAATTGCCAGTATCCTCAATTCTTTTCAGAGCTTTGATGTGCTTAGCCTTCTACAAATTCGGTGTTGGTAATTTAGGCTTTCATACTTTTCCCTTTGTCATATTTGAATTTGGTAATGTCGTCGTTGAAAACCACTAATTTTTACAAAGCACCTTATTCTGGCTTTCTTCTACAAGTTTTTGAAGTACACTTAAAATAGACTTCAGTTCCAAACGTTGAGGATTTGTTTGAAGAACAGGAAACTCTTAAGAAACTGGTTTAATGCAATTAGAGATATCGTTAATTCTGGATGCACTCTTTATGAGAGAGACTTCACATCAGTTAATTACTATATTACAGGTACTATATGTATACATTAGACTTTCCAAATAATTATATCCCTTACCTCGGTTGGAAAAGAAAAAGAAGGGATCTCGTTTGAATAAAACACAATATTCTACTTGAGATTTTATTTTGGTTTTATATACTAAAACAATTTGTACTTACTAGCTATTTCTAAAATTTCATAATCTTAAAGAGATAGGAAAAATTAGCTTAGAGCAGTGGTTCTCAACCTTCCTAATGCTGTGATCCTATAATACAGTTCCTCATGTTTTGGTGACCCCCCCCCCAACCATAAAATTATTTTCGTTGCTACTTCATAACTGTAATTTTGCTACTGTTATGAATTGGGCGACCCCTGTGAAAGGGTTGTTCAACCCCCAAGGGGGTTGCAACCCACAGGTTGAGAAGCACAGGCTTAGAGCATTTATGAAAACACCTTCGGGCTGGTGGTGTGGTTGACCAAAGAAATTAAAAATCCCACACATGTAGTGAATTGTTTGTATAAAAACACAGTATGTTTACAGAAAGGAGCCCTGCTGGTTTAGGACTTAAGCTGCTAGCCACAAGGTCAGCACTTCGAATTCTCTATGGGAATAAAATGAGGCTGTCTGCTCTGGGAAATATTGACAACCTTAGAAACCAAAAAGGATAGTTCTTCCCTGTTCTGTGGAGTCTCTATCAGTCAGTTGATTGGATGTCACTGAGTTTTGGTAACTCAAGAATGTGAAGAAATGTACTAAATGAAATGTATATAACTCTGAGCTTGCATTCTGTACAATTATTTGTTGATTTGTCCTTTAATCTTAATTTAAGGAGTTCGAAGTGACATATATTGTGTTTCTTCACTGTGTGTTGACAAAGAATAGGAAATATAAAAAGGGAAGTGTTGATAATGTGTTTTTCCTCTCCTCTGAGTTACTTTTATTTTCCCCCTAGAATTCCTTGATGTACGAGCTCTTCTCTGTCATGGTTCATTCGGGCAGTGCAGCTGGTGGTCATTACTATGCTTGTATAAAGTCGTTCAGTGATGAGCAGTGGTACAGCTTCAATGACCAACATGTCAGCAGGGTAAGGAGAATCCATTTTAAAGGTTATTGCCCTGGAAGATGTGAATAGGACTGCTTTTATTTCTGGCTGTTGTTTCTGTGGTTTGGACTTGGTCTCTGTGTCCAGAGACAGAATACAAGGTTTCCTCTTGCCCTGAGCCTTCATGTGTACTGCCTAAATAGGCGCACTGGGGCTGACTGACAGTAGCAGTCACTGATGATGATTCTCTTTTATAATTGAGTATCTGGAAAGATTCATCTTGGAAATATGTATCACTTGACTCTTGAGAGTTGAAGAATGGGCTACATGTTAACATTAATAGAATTATAGTGTTGCCAATTTTCCAAAAGAGGAAATAATGTGATGACTTTGTAGATAACACAAGAAGACATTAAGAAGACACATGGTGGGTCGTCCGGGAGCAGAGGGTACTATTCCAGTGCTTTTGCAAGGTAAGTCATTTCCTAATTGTGTGGTGGTTATAAGTGAAGACGCACTGTGGGAGTGGGGAAACCCGTGGCTGGGTTTTTAAGTTAAAATTCATTGTAACTTCTCAACTGCTTTGACCGTTACTTGTACCTTGAGGTCAACAAACTCTATGGCCCCAGGGCCCAAATCAGCCTGCTGCCTGGTTTGTGGAATTTAGTTTCATGGGAGCACAGCCGTATTTATTTATGTGTATCTATCTGTCTATATGTAGTCTGTTGATGCTTTCATACTGTAACAACAGAGTTGAGAAGTTAGGAGATACTGTGTGTCTTGCTAAGGTATTTATTGAAAAGCTCTTCCAAGAAAAAAAATAATAATGCTGACCTCTGATGTAATTGAACTGTAGTAATCATTCTCATAAATGTCTCATTAAAAGTTAGCTTCACTTTTTTTACTAGAATGTTTTAAATGTGTCTCTGTTTGAGAAGAGGGGCATGATTGTTTTCTAATAGTGTAAAATAAACAAGCAAAAAAAATTTTTAACAATATGTGTATAATGCTAGGAAATGGAATCTTTTAAAAAAAATCATTTTATTGGGGGCTCGTACAACTCTTATCACAATCCACACATCCATCCATTGTGTCAAGCACATTTGTACATTTGTTGCCATCATCAT